TACTGAGCTGTAAAACCACCTTTGCAAATTAACTTGCTGGTTGCAGTTTTTCCAACCTTCTGCCATCAGCAGCTGCATTTCCCAACCCTTCCATGGGCTCTCCTCCTCTGACACTTTGCTCATCCTGTCTGATAATTGACACTGGCAACAGGTGAATAGAGATCTATGTTCTTAGCATGATGAAGCAGTGCAATGAGTTACATATCCAACAAATGCTGGAGCCAGGGAAAGATAAAGTCTAATAGCAAAGAGAAGATTATGGCAGTCAGCTGTTAGACAGGCTGACGCTAGTGAGGTACTACATGATATTGCCTCAGGAGCAGGCTGATGTGTCTGTGGATTACATCACTCTTGAAAGAAGCACATCCTCCTTTCTGGGCTTGATTTCACTCTAATAGTGACTGTTGGCAAAAGACTGTTGAAAGGGGAGCCAATATGTAGTCACATTTTTTCCCACTCTTCAGCTTCTGCTGAAAAAAATTTGTATTGAATTGTGGCTTAACTTGGAAGCAATAGGAAATATTTCTCTGAGTACAAAAATAAAGGTTGGAAAACTAGCTGATGGAGAAAGATGTGAAAGTCAGATAGAAAAATCTGACAAGCAAGGGTAAGTGAAACAAAAGTGTGTAGTACAAAGTCTAATTAGGAACTAATATGATTTTTCTTTTATAAGCTGGGAAGTTATAATTGAAAGTGTCAGAGGAAGAGAGACATCTGGCTTTATTAGTCTCAGGGTGACTAAAGCCATAAATGTGACATGCCAATGAAAAAAGACAAGTGTAAAGACATATCAGGATGTATTACAGCATTTTTAGAAGTGGAAAGAAAATATTAAAGGCAATGTATATACTACTGGTGGGATTTCATCTGAAATTCTGTTTGTAGTTTTGGTCACTTGTGATCAAAACATGAATTCTAAGAGTAAGAAGTTTGAGATGGGTAGCTAAAGCTGAGGAAATAGAAACGGTCTTATACAGGTATTATTAAAAATTCTCATTGTTTGTTTCAGTGTAAAAAAATTGTGCTGTCTTTTTATTCTCTTAAAAGAGAAAGGCACTGACAGAGTGAGAATGTCTGATTAAGTTGTAGAACAATGTTAGCCAAAGAACAAATGTGTATACACTGGCAACGATGGTTTATTTGGTAGAAATGAAAGACAGTAACTATCTGGGAGTGAGATTCTAGATTAGAAGTAAATTTGCTGGCTTGGTTCTTTGTCCTAGTCTATGAAACAACTTGATCTTTTTGTCACATGGAATATATAAAATACATAATTCTAAAAGATGGAAATTAGACAGAAATCAAAAGGTTCTTTCTTTCTAAATTAAAGATTTTTAATCTTTCCCCCACCCTGTACTAGAAATGCTAGAGGGTAGAGATAAAGAGGGAGGAACTGCGAATATGCCTCCTTCATAGGGAAAAGAAATTAGAAATAATCTCCTAATTATTATCCCTAGACACAAAGGACAGATTTTCTGAGTGAAAGTTGTATATTGCAGTAATTCCACCCTTAAGCCTTCAAAGCACAAAAAGTCAGGCTGTACGAGGATATCTATAATGAGAAATGTAGGACTGCAAACAAATAAAAAGATTCAGTTTGTTCAGTTGTTTATAGCATCTATACAACTGATAAGATTAACAATTAATTAATAAAACTAAATAATAAATTACAGTGAAAAAATAGATGGAAATGCATGTTGCTTTCCATATCTTCTGCTTTTTTTGATTTCATTACACCTCTACACACAAAAATAACTTTTTTCTATAAGTATTTTTCTATTAATATTTTTTGCATTGGTGATAGAGATGTTGGCATTTTTCTCTTAGAAGATGAGATAGTACTGTCCACTAAATGGCTTCCTCCCTATATGGACTGTTGCCTTCTGAAAAGTGACCAGCTTAAAGAATATATGTATGAAATGTATAAATTCTTCTAAAAATTTTCTTAAAAAAGTAAAGATGCTTTGCACACTTTTCTGCATTTCAGAGTTTCAACCAAACCATCTACACTCTAAGGTTACATTTATAATAAAAATATGCTTCTCACATCCATTTTTGTAAATATACACTAATTTCAATAAGCCTCATTGCATCTTTATCACTCCAGCTTTGCAGAGAAGTTTGTATCAAGTATGCTCATATTCAACTTCAGGTATGACTGTCAATGCCTATGAAAACTGTGAATTTCCATAGTTGCGAAGTACATCCTGTTCTTGTTTCTGGTAAATGGTAGAGAAGTTGAATGCGTCAGTTCTCTAGGCACTCTTTTTGGGCACAGAAAAGGGATAATGCATGTTTTTATCTGGCTCTAACTCCACAAGGCCCTTAGGTTCAATTCAAGAAGGTATTCCTTGCCAGGAGAGCCCTTTAGCACCATGCTTAAATGCTTTGCTGAAGCATGTCCAGTTAGAGCAGATTGCTAACCTTGCGTGTCATGAGCAATAGTCTACTCTTACATTCACCTGCCTTCTCTGCAGCTTATGGGTTTGCTTAATGCAGTTAGGAGTCTTTTACAAAGCAGCTGCTTTAACTCATAGCCCTTCATTCTTTCTTTATTTAGTTCAAGGGGCCCAGATCTCATTCTGGACATCTCTGGTTAGAGAGTAATATTCACCTAGGTAGTAATTTAAAATATCTTTATAAGTTTGTTGGTATAATGGGGCTGGGTGACCAATGTGGTTTAAATGATTTTTCCCTGGCTAATTAAATGCATTTAAATTTATAAAATTAATATTTTATTAAAGCTGTCTTTCTGAATTTAAAATGTATTTTGGCCGCTCAGTGAGGTTACTTTTTGATGAGCATTAATTTCTGTTAACTATTCAAAAGCTCTGAGCTAATTGCTTAATTAAACATCAATGCTGGCCAATATTGAGTCTCTGGAGGTTAGATAGAGAGGTGGGTCCGTTTCAGAGTGAGCTCTGACTCTCAGTTCCATAGTGGGGATGAAAGATAATAGTGACTGTAAAGTTTGTATCTAGTATAATAAAACTTTTGTATATATTTTAAGGATTTGTTTATAAGCACGGAAGTGCAAACACAACTCTCTGTGGACAGAGACTTGAGGCTTAGTCTTGGAAAAAATCTAACCTGAATAATATTTGTGTTGTGTTAATCCTTTGTTGCGTAGGTGTTGTCAGTACTAAGCCTGTCACTGTTGATTGTTAATGAGGTTTTGGTTCATTAGACTAAAAAGCTAAAACTGCGTTATGTCACAATTTCAGATTAATTAATAGTTTGTTAATAACATTTAGTTTTAATTCTCCTTCTCACTTGTTTCTCTTAAAAAGAGTATTCTACTAAATAGGTGAAAAAGTGAGTGTTTGCAGTGGTTTTCTTACTTTTAAATTTTCTAGCTGTTGTCAAGAATGCTGTATGATGTGTAAGTGGCATTTAACTCTGTGATATTCTCATTAATATTAAATAAGGAATAAAGGTAATTATATTGATTTCAACACAATCCAATAGGACAAGTGGGTTCAGTCTCTTGATGATGGACTTTCTATGTGGTCTTTGTCTTTTTCCTTCTGTGGCCTCTGCTGTTACAACACTGTAGATATAGGCTTATTGACTGTGACATGCTAGAAATCATAGCAGTAGCAATAAAATAATTCAAATTTTTCATTATTTTCTAACATAAGATCTTATAATTTTACTAATTTTTACTCTTCTAGTATTGCTATGATTCTTCAGATTGCAAATTTTTCATTCTCAGTCTCCTGAGAGGCCCTTTTGGCCATCACGTCAACCCATTTACTTTATTCCATAAATTCACACGGTACTTTGAATATGGTACATATCCATAGTACTGACCATCTTTATCACAAAAATTAAATTCCCAGTGATTTGGCTCATCCTTAAGCGTCACACTGTAAATTGATTTTATGTGTTTATGTCATAATAACCGCAGCTGTGTCCCCTCACAACTCCTTGTGCACCCTCAGCCTTCTTACTGGTGGGGTGGGGTGAGAGGCAGAAAAGTCACTGATTCTGTGTAAGCTCTGCTCAGCAATATCTAAAACATCCCTGTAGTATTGACACTGTTTCCAGTACAAATCCAAAACACAGCCCCATGTCAGCAGCTGTGAAGGAAATTAACTTTATCCCAGCCGAAAACAGCACAGTACATGAGAAAATAACATTTTAATAGAAGGGAAAGCTCTCTGCTTGTGTCATAATAACTGCACGTTTTATTGCAAATGAAGTTTGATATAGCTTCAGGAATGCTGACCTGTGTATCTTTGCCCAGTGGTGTGAGAAAGGAGTCTCAAATAAATACTGAATTCTTTGTAGAATGTCTGCCCAGCTTCCACGTGCAAGATCTTATAGTGGTGTCTTCCCTTTGAAAGTAAAACTACTGGAAATTGCCTGTGACTGGGGTGACATCATGAATTAGAAAGGACATGAATTTAATCTTTTGTAGAGACAGCTGTGTCTGGTATTTTAATACGTTTTTGAAGAGAAACAAAGGAAGGCTAATTAATGTATTTATGTAAATTCAACAAATGACAGGGTTTAGCCACAGCCAGTTCTTTACCATGGAAGCAAATGATGGTTGTCCTGTCCATGTCTGTTGCAGTGATTTAGGGCCTACTCAAATCACATAATTAAAAAACTGTGGATGCTGTGGTTGCTAAAGAAAAAAGTAATTAAACAAGAGACTGATAAGAAGAAGCTTTTGACAAAACAGTTTTATACCAAATGAAGAAAGAAAGATTTCAGTTCAGATGATGCTTAGTAATTGAATTTCAAAAGACATTGCCACATTAACATGACCATAAAACAATAAATTTTGTT